TTTCTGATGGCTTCGATCTTTCTTTGTTTCAAATCTTGTAGTAAGAAAGCTCTATTATCACGAATAATGTCTATCCTTGCTTTGATAGCTTTGGCTCGATCGAAATCTTCTCTTTCAATTGCTTCTTGTTTGGCTCTTTCAAGATTTAGTAATTGTTCATCTTCAAATGGATTTTCTTCGCCATAGCCTCTTGCAGAAAAGGATATTAAGCCTACTTGATTAGATTTATTTAAGTGATTTTGATAACATCCGTTTATTTTTATCTTTATGTATCGAAGATGAAGCATATTAGGGTGAGCAACACGAATTTCTCTTGCTTTGTAGTTGTTGGCGCGATTATCAGTGAATTTAAATGAATCTATTTGTTCAAACTGTACTTTTCTCCAATTTGCTTTATCTCCTCCGGAAAGAAGATCTATACTTGATGCAATTTTACTTTGATGACTGATAAATTTCATTTCTGTTAAAGCAACTTGGGATCCAAAGTCTAATATTACTTCTTGTGGATAAGATGCGTTCGGAAGCGTAATCCAACCATTTGCAAATGGAGACGTATCCATAAGATTTGAGGCTGGATTAGAATCTATTTCACTTGTCGCATATATTACTTGAAAAGGAAGCGCACTTGGCGCATCCATACGTTTTGAAATTCATCTCATTGTGTTAGAGACTTTAAAATCTATAAAATAAAATACATTTATAATGTGTATCAATTTTTTATTAATAAAAATGAGTGTTGCGGTAAAAATCAGCCTCATTTTAATATTTCAATAGCTTAACTTAACTGTTCATACCTGTAACCAATGTAATTCAGTATTTCTCCTAAAATTATCAGAAATCTTTGTATCCATTGTTATCTACTTGTGTAATGAATTTCAAAGATTTATGGAAAAGTGCAAATATATGATTTTTAAAATATTTCGTGTCTGATGAAGACATTCATCCATATAAATACAGTGAATTAAGAAAAATCCACAATAATATTTTATGCGACTCTATTCCATATAATAATCGCTATACAAAGTCATATTTATCTCTTGCCAAGATTGTAAAAGAGGTCGACAAGATTAAAGATATTTCAAGCTTCCTGTTTTATATAGGAAAGATTGAAATAGAAACTATTCAATTTTTTATACTTTAAATGTACTTTTTCTCTATGATAGAATTGATATATTTATGAATAAACGTAAATATAGCTCACATTGATCATACTCTATCATTTCACCGTTTCAAAATCTAAAAAATATCTCCAGATTAAGACTCATGGTGTAAAAACGAGCTTAAGTATTAAATGAAAAGATTATTTTTATTCACATTGTAATAATAAAATTATTAAAATTAAGCGATTAACTGCTTAACTTCCTGGATGTTCTTGTTGATAGCTTCGATCTGAACCTTTAGTGCTTCCATCTTAGATCTCTCGAGTTCCTGGACTTCTGGTTTAACCTTTGTAGCGTAGTTAGGATTAGAAATCTTTTCTTCGTATTTCTGGAACTGTTGTTGTAATGGGCCTAACTTCTTCTCCAATCTCTCGAGTTCCTTCTCGAAATCTACGACACCCTTCAAGTTGATTCTCAGCTCAACTGTCTCTGTAACAACAGAGGAAGCGTAACCAGCAGCGATCTGTGTTCCTGGAGCAACAACGTCGACCTTTCCAAGTCCGCCAATAGCTGAGATGAATGGAATTGTTGGCTTGATTTCATCCTGAGAAGTAACGATGATTGCCTCCAAGTTATTGTTGTTGATGTTGTACTGCTTCTTGATAGATCTAGCAGCAGAAGCTGTAGCGAAAGCAGTGTCAACAATGGAGACATCGTAGTTGAGCCACTCCTCGTTAACTAATGGATAAGGAGCCAACATGATTGATTCGACGTTGAATCTTCTTGGTAAGTGCTGCCACAACTCTTCAGTGACGTATGGCATGAATGGATGGAGCATTCTCATTGTTGACTCAATGCACTCGTACAATACAGCTGCGACAACTTCCTTGGCTGCTGCATCATCGCCGTTAACGATTGGCTTGGTGCCTTCCAAGTAGACAGAGCAGAACTCGTCGTGGAAGAAGTGTGTCATTCCATTAACAGCGTCAGCCATCTTGAAGTCCTCGAGACCAGCTGTTGCTGCCTTGATTGCGAGAGACAACTTCTTGAGTGCCCACTTGTCCAATGGTGTTGTCTTTGATGCATCGAGGTCCTTGTGGGAATCTTCTGGGTTGAACTTGTCGAAGTTTGGCAATGCGAAACGAACAGCGTTCCACATCTTGTTGCAGAAGTTTCTGTATGAAACAATGACAGAAACATTGAGGTTGGCTGTTCTGTTTGCGCCTGCAAATGAGCAGAGAGCGAGACGCATGGCATCAGTGCCGCACTGTGGGATGCCGTTAGGGAAGTCAGCCTTTCTGCCGTCGATTGCGATCTTCTTTTCTTTGTCATCGAATGTGGAATTCTCGATTTCAGCAACTAAATCTTCCAATTCGATACCGTTGATGACGTGGCGTGGATCAATGACGTTTCCGAGAGACTTTGACATCTTTCTGCCCTGTGCATCTCTAACGAGTGGGTGAAGAAGAATTGTGTGGAACGGAACTTTGTTTGTCAATGTCAATGACATCATGACCATTCTTGATACCCAGAATGTTAAGATATCCCAGCCTGTTTCGAGAATTGAGTTCGGGAAGTATCTGTTGAGGCGTTCTTCGTTGCTTGGCCAGCCGACACCGGAGAATGGAAGTAAAGCAGATGAGAACCATGTATCAAGAACATCTGGATCTTGTTCAACAGTGACTCTTGATGGTACTACGTTGTTTGCCTTTGCACCTTTAGCGATTGCTTCTTCTTGTGATGCTGCAGCAACCCACTCTCCATTTCCTTCTGCCCACTTTCCGTCGATTTGGACTCTGTAGGCTGGAATTCTGTGTCCCCACATCAACTGTCTGGAAATGCACCATGGACGGATGTTTTCGTGCCACTTCTTCCAGTCAACAACGAATTCGTCTGGAACAATCTTCAACTCGCCGTCATCGACTGCTTTGATGGCTCTGGCAGCCATGTCTGTTGTGTTGACAAACCACTGTGGTGTGATGACTTGTTCAACAATGTCGTGGCCGCGCTGTGTGATACCTAATCTCATTTCGTGGTCCTTCTCTTCCTTGTAGAGGCCGCGCTCCTTCATCCACTTGACCATCTCAACACGAGCATCGAAACGCATCATGCCGGAGAACTGGCCGTAGCCTGGAGCAATGGCGCCGTCTGGTGTCAAGATTGAGATTAATCCAATCTCTGGATGGCGCTTGTAAACTTCGTAATCGTTTGGATCGTGGCCTGGTGTGACTTTGACAACACCTGTACCGAAGTTCATATCGACAAGGATCTCATCTTGGATGATTGGAATTGGAACTTCACGGATTGGATGCCAGACATACATTCCGTGGAGATGGTTGTAACGAGCGTCCTTTGGATTGATTGCAACAGCTGTATCACCGAGCATTGTCTCGAGACGTGTTGTAGCGATTTCGACCTTTTCGCCAGTCTTCTTTCCATCCTTGTCGCAGATTTCGTAGTAGAAGTGTGTCATTACGCCGAATGGATATTGTGGGTATTTGTGGTTTGGAACATTTAATTTTGTACGCTTTGTAAGTGTGATGTATTCGACTTCTGCATCGGAAATGGCTGTCTTGAGGGCGCAATCCCAGTTGACAAGGCGCTCACTTCTATAAATCAAACTTTCATCAAAGAGTTTGATGAAAGCAGCAATAACTGATTCACTGCGCTTCTCATCGAGTGTGTAGTATGTGTCCTTCCATGCAAGGGATGAGCCCATGTCACGAAGCTGGGAGAGAATTGTGCCGGATTTGGATTCAACCCACTTGTGAGCTTCTTCAAGGAAGTACTCGCGGCTGTATTCGCCACGGTGGAGCTTCTTCTCATCGTAGATCTTCTTTTCGACACGGAACTGTGTGGCAATGCCTGCATGATCTGTGCCTGGAACCCAAAGGGATTCTTCGCCGCACATTCTGTGATAGCGGGTGATAGCATCTTCAATGGATGCTGTGAGGGCGTGACCAAGGTGAAGTTCTCCTGTAACGTTTGGTGGAGGAAGAATCATAACAAACTTCTTGTCGGCAGCTTTTGGTTCAAAGAAGTTCTGGTTTTCCCACCATGAATACCAGGCATTCTCGACCTTCATTGGGTTGTATTCGGAATCAAACTGTGTTGTATCTGGTTTATGACCATCCTTTGATTTTGGAATAACTTCTTGCTTTGCTGCTGTCTTTTTCATCTTTTGTGGGGCCTTTGAGACAGCCTCCTTGATGACTTTCTCCTTACGCTGTGCTTTGGCGGTCACAGACATCTAAAATCTAAAGTGACCATGCATCTCACAAAAAAAATTCACTGAAATATGAAAAATTAAACAATCTGTGAGATATAAAATTAAATTGTATTGGTTTATTTTTGAGAAGTGGATTTTCGGTTATTCCGATTACTTGAAATTTTCTACCATGAATTACCCTAATCGTGTATAAATCACACGATTAGATTTCCATCCAATAAAAAACTCTGTACATTGTATTTTGGAGTCATGTTATTTTATTTTAATCCAAAATCATAAAGATTTCAAATTTAAATTTTTATGATTTCATAAATACAGTTAGTATATGAAGATAACATACATGAATTAGATATTTATTCATGAGTATTGATTGATAATAAACAATTAATAATATATTATGAAAAGAACTTGAATAATCTATGTTAAAACATTAAGGAACTTTTGGTAATATGTTCTCAGGTATTCCATCCTCTTTATTGATGATGCCGAAACCGAAATTGTAAATATGATAAACACGTTCCATAACAATTGACTTTCTTGCTAATTCAACATCAAAGTCGAATTCATGCTCATTAAGTGGGTCGGCTCTATCTGGCCTCTCTGCATAGCAAGCTCCGATATGTTTTGGTGAAACAAACTTTTCATTCGAATATTCAGCATCTCTGTCTCGTATAACGAACTTTTTGACATCAAATGTCGAATTTAAATCATTTCGTTGAAATTCATCAAGAGAAAATGGATGTGAAACAAATTCGTTGCCGAGTAAAGATATTTTCTTGCCATTATCAAGTGCATTTTGTGCTGCAGCAGGAGTTGCAAATGCAATGTATGCATATGGTTTGATCCTTTCACTATCTAATTTCGGAATGTGAACATAAACAATTTTTCCAAATGTTGAAAACGCATTCCCGATAAACTCTGGAGAAGTATGTTTTCCGACACCTGTGACTTTAATAACTGTATTTGCAGGTATGTTATGAAGATCAATTTTTCTTGTCATTGACAAAATAGTTATTGGTGCATTCGCACCGATATCAATAACTTCCAAAAATGTTTTAATATAGCAAACTGCATTCTTATTTATCCTTTCAAGAAAAATATTGATAATAATAGCATGAAACCCATAAAAAATCATGAAATAATTATTTTTTTGGATTTATTCATAATTTAAATATGTGAATTTGTAGACATGAACATTTATTGCAATTATAAAACATGTTGCTGATTTTCAATTTTACCAAAATTTATGATTTGCATGAAAATAATAGTATTTTTTTAATTTTTAATTTTTTTTTACTTTTTAATGAAAGTCAAAGTATTGGAATTGATAAATTTCATAATGATGTTCATGATCGCATATATAAGAGTATGCGTATTATTTTATAATTAATTCATATATCTTATCTGTTGACGCAATTGCAATCTATCTCATACAAATTAAGCCAATATTCAATCAAATTACATGAACACATGCTTTCATAATTAATATATGATCATTAATAAGGTTTTCTATATGAAAAATGCTATATGATTTCATTAAAATTTTGAATCCATTTCTACTGTATCTTCTGTGATTTATAAACACGATGAAGAAAATTATATGAATAACTGTCGATATAAATCTAGCAGATCTGAAACACACTATCACACAAATAGTTGATAATACTTGATATTTTTCCAAAACATCATTTCAACCATCTAAAAGTTACAAATCCAATTATTTATCAAAATTCTCTCTTAAAAACAGTACAGTATACATTGTGCGTCGCCTGTAGCCTACAGCTACAGTCACCGACACAATGAAAAAAGTGACAGAAAAGTGACACTATACGGGTGTGCATATGTACGCATATATGTGTAAAAATAAACGTTCATATGTAAACTAACCTTTATTCACTAGCAGGGGCTGATAAATCATAATCGTCGAGAAGTACGATAGGTGGTCCCACCTGTTTAATCTGTATGGAGAGGCAAACGTGACGTAAGAAGCATAACACTGGTTTCTCAGTATATTTAATAGACTCTGCTGTTGGCTTAACTGTAAGCTTATATGTAATAGGTGAATTAGATAACTGACCCTGTTGGAATGTATAATCAGTTTCGCAAGGGAATCCACATAGGTAATGACCTAAGTCATTTGACTCGATTCCAAATTGAGGGACTGATGTGGTTGTGATAGACCTCATGACATCATAGTTGAAGCCAACAGTATCGTTATTATTGTTAGTGGCATTTGCCTGCATCTCATAGAAGATTGGATCATTAGATGCTTGAGCCTCAGCGGGTATGTTACCATATGCTCCACAGTTCAATTGAATTTGTTCAAACAATGGATTTTCATAGGTAGTGTTATAATTAGGTGTTTTCTTAAATAGTGTATAAATGGTGTTCACATATAATGGAGTAAATGCTGCCGTGAATGTACAAGGAGTTCCTTCACCTTTAGCCATTGAACCATCCATAGTAATGCAGTCAATTCTTTTGATTGGGAAGTTTAGAGTCTTTGCCGAATATCTTGTCACCAAATCACTATAGATGTTAGGGTCCAAAGAGAATGAGTTACAGTATGTAATCATTTCAAAGAAGTTTGCATTCTTCTTAGTGAACTTAATAAACTTGGTACCAAATGATATCGTACTCTTATCGGCATTCCAAGTTACAGTATCAATAACTTTGATACCTTCATAGATAGGAGTGAAGTGATTAGTGATTGGAATATAGCTTGTAACATTGGCTTGCATGTTCGGTAATGGTAGAATATCCTGATAACTTAATGGTGTCCAAACCATACCAGCAATACTGAACTTAACCTTAAGTTGTAAGTTACCAGCAAACGCTGGAAGGAATCTAATGTTATTAAGTATTAGGAATCTTCTTAGGTCAATCTTGATTGGTATGTGGAACTTTAATGTAGTTGCACCACTAATTGGTTTATTGAACTCAATAATCTGTCCAGAACGAACTGTATCACATCTATTGAAAACATCTTTATGTCTAGCCTTACTAAATACATCAACTTTCTTAATAGCTTCTGTTGTAGATGCAGTAGAAGTAATGTAACCTTCTTCTCTAGCATTATCTTGTGTATAAACACTTTTACCATTAGCGATTAATTGATATGATTCAACAGCATAGAATGAATCAATGTATCCCAACCAAATTGCTGGAAGATGTGCACATGATTTGCCACCAGCATATTTAGTATCAATTGCTTTAATTGCTGTAACATTTGATCCTGTAGGAGCTGTCTCAACAGCTCTTTCTTTATATACTTCACCATCATATTTAGGAACTTTTTCATCAGCTGGTTCAGTTTCTGTTGTAATTATGCACTCACCATCGACATAACCACTAATGAACGTATTATATAAGTCAATCATGTTCTCACCAGGTGGTGATATGTTAAATGTAATATAACCGTTATCAATAGTATTTGTCGGCATAGCTGGCACTTTTGTTGGGACATATCTATGGTTAGTATCTCCAATAGGAACTGCCCCATCAACTTGATCGAAATAATATCTTACTTGTCTGATGGAATCAGCAATACTGTATGTATTGAGGTTATCGTTCAACATCTTTCTCAGCTATAAAAAATTTACAATCTTCTTATTCTTGGGATTATTCGTCTTATTTGTGGCTGAGGTTTAGGAGGTTCTGGTTCAGGCTCTGGTTCATCATCGAAGTGTATTCTTTTCTCTTCCATTGATTGAACATATTCTTGATTCTCTTTAGTTTCCTTCTCACGTTCAATTGGGTCCATGTTTGGTTCATTAACTACACTGTTACGTTCTAATATCTTTGTCATCATCTCTAACAACATTTTATTAGTATATGCTTGTTCTTCTTCTTTCTTCTCATCAACTTTAGGAGCTTCTTGAACAACAGGAGCTGGGGCAGGAGCTGGTGAATTCAATGGTGCCTTTCTCTTTCTAACTTGAACTGAACCATTCTTCATATGACAAACATAATATAATGGATGTTGTATTCCTTTAGCTTCATTCAATATGATTGATTGCTTTTCACTTGGTGAAAGTTTTGACGTCATTTCTATCCTAATAAAATTTTTTACTCCTAACAAAATGACTGAGAATACTTTCGACAGAGAAGCACTCAAGAATGAACTTCGTGAAGAAATACTTAATGAACTCAAACCAAAAGAACAAACACAAGAAGAGAAACCAGCTAAACCAAAGCGTAAACTCACAGAGAAACAATTAGCTGCATTAGCAGCTGGACGCGCAAAGAATCCACGAATGATTGCAAAGAAATTGAGAGAAGAGGAAGAAGCTAAGAAAAATAATAAGTAAGTGTTTAGAACTTTAACTTACGTTCAAAAGATGACTTCGTTGAAATAGTGAAGTCCTTATTTTTGTTGAAGCATGGTTTCGAACCAATGCACAAGTCAAAGGTTATCTCATCACCTTCATAAAGAGATTTGTACAATTCCACGATGCTATATTTTTCCCCAACTTTCTCAGGGAAGAACAAACCTTTCTTCTCGTCATAATGTACTTGTATCGCATCTGGGAACATTTGGTTTGCAGTAAGTGCAATTACGTCCTGTGTGATTCCCTTCATTCGACAGTGGAAAGCAATTTCCTTGAGGTCATTGGTTAATTCGTCGAGGTAAGTCTTCTTTCCAACGAATATAGATCTTTGTGCCTTAGACATATGTCCTGCAGTAATCTCTGCAAAGTCTGAATGAAATTGACCCAGTGCTTTTCCAATGAGTTCTCTGTTATACCTTCTCTTGTATTCTTCTGCTAACTTATCTAAGTCCTTCTCATACAAGTGTAAACTATCTGTATCCTGATAGAACAACTTCAAGCCCAAATCTTCTGCTGTGAAGAATACTTCATTCATGATTCGTTTGGACATAGAAAGGATTGAAACACCTAATGGACAATAGTTAAAGTGACGAACGATAGGTTTAAATGACTTTACACATGAAAGTTCGGAATCGGGGATGAACTCTATTGTCTGTATGTCATTATAGTTCTTAATGATATAGTCAGTGAGCTTATTGTCCTTGATGAAACGAATCTTTTTGTCAATGGGCTTTAATATCGTCTTACCATAGATACTGTTCAAAAGAAGTTTGATGATCTCTTGTATCGGATTACCTTCCTTCTTATACTTAGCACGTAATTCGAAGAGCTTCTTAACTTCATTCCTTATTGTCATGTCCCTTTTTCCATCATAATAGTATCCATCAATGACTTTGCATGAGATCTCTTGGAACTTGATCAGATCTTGAAGCGTAATGTGGTCTACGAACATCTTGCAGCATGTATTGGAACTTCTGGCAACATGTAAGTCAGGGTTGATGTCAGGATTGACGACAATCAATGGGAATGCTGAGTTCTTACCGATCGACAAGATCTCGATCTGACAGTAAAATCCTGAGATGAACTTTTCCTTTGTTGGTTCAGCTTGGTCATCATCAAAGAGATGCTCCAACAAGTATTCACTGCTCTTCATCTCTTCTGTCATAACTTTTGGAATTCCTTCTAAACAGTAAAGTCTAGCAATTGCTGATGGATACAATGATACAGCATCGAAGTCAGTGATGAGTTCTCCTTCATTGTATTGCTTCTTGTTCTCAGCTAGCATGCATCTTCCTCCTTGAATACACTTGGAAATATATTCACGAGGTTTTCCTGCAAGATCAAAGAGATTACCGTTCTTCCAATATACTCTCTTCTCAAAGAGTTTGTTTGAGATAGAACTTATTGAAACATAATCATAAGCATCTATTTCAAACTCAGTCATGAGGTCATTGCGGAACTTAAGAAAGCCATCTCGTAAAATGCGTACATCTTGACCGCAATAGAATGACGAATAAACTTCCATGTCAAAGTGTTCATCATCAATCTTGCAATCTTCAATCTTCTCAATGTTCTCATTAAAAGCTTCAATATCTTTGACATGATTCATGGCATCATCGATGTTACCAACTTTAGTTGTATTAACTAACTCTTCCGTGTAGTAATTATATGGGAAAACTTCTTTTTCACCACTAGTGAGGTGAAACATTTCAGGGAATCTTTCCAACTTAGTTGAGATGATTGCATAAGAGTCTTTGAAGCAGAGAAGTTTTCCTTTGTACTTTCCTTGTATCTGCATCGTTTGTGAACCTTTGATGATTGGAGTTCCTGTAATCTCTTCTAACTGAGACATGAGAAAAGTGACATCGTACGATAAGTTGTGGAAATAAACTAAACTCTTATCTGGTAAAGCTTCGAGGAATTTTGACGCACAGTCACTTCCCCAAATTGATGTATAACCATCATCGTCATCTTCCATGAAACAAATGTTGTATGCTTTGTGAATGTTTCCATCAGTTGATGCTTCGAAGTCAGCAAAGAAAACATGTTCTCTTGGGAACTTCATGTCTTTCTTCGTCTCTGAACTCCAATCTTTCTTCATCCTTGCGCAATAACGCTCATTGTATGTGAGGTCAATCATTTCTTCAAGGTTCTCATTATACATCGTTGTGAAGTATGTGCAAAGTTCTCCTGTTCTAATTGGTTCGAAATAATTGTTAGCAAACAAGAGTTCAATGACTTTTGCAAGTGGTGTAACTAACTTTGAGTTAATTGCATACCTTGTTTCATATCTTCTGTTAACTAACATCTTCTTCTCTAAAGTCCAATCCTTGCACAACTTACAAACATCTTCATAGTTCTTGATGAACATTGAACTTATTGGAAGCTTTTCGTTCAACATGTAGTGGTCATACATTAATAAAAGTTCTACTGTCATCTTTGGTTCTTCATCTGGTTCATAAGTATATGAATGATTTGAATACTTCTCGTTGTATTTGATGACATGGAACCTTATTCCTGTTTCTTTGGCAATAACCTTAATCTTTGACATTGGAAAATCTTTGACACGAATGATTTCCCTCATATGATTAATTGTTGCTTCGTCAACACCAGCTTGAATACAAGCGTAGATGAAACATGAATCTTTCATCATCTTCTTTGCTGTCTCTGCATTAAGTTCGTTGAAGATCTGATACCTCTCTAAGTTAATAGGTAATTTGCATGTCCATGTCCAAAGCTGACCATTACGTGACCTGTTTCTCTTCTTTGAATGGTTTTGTTTGATGATCTTGAGTGCGATCTTTTCTTGACCTGCTGCTCTCATCGTATCTAACATAACTTGTTCTTCAGCTGTGAGTTTATATGGTGTGTACGTTCCTTTTCTCAAAGCAGAAGCATCAACATCTGAATAAGCTGTATAGTCAAAGATCTCGATCTTCCTTAACGAAGGAATACTACAAAGGAAGAAGTCATAGTTTGATTCAAGGACTTTAGATGCTAATTCTTGTACTTCTGCTATTGGAGCTTCATTAAGTAACTGATGAACTAATGATCCCATTGTATTGATGTTCAAATGACGCAAAATGTTTCTCTTCTCATCAAAGTCGTAATAGAATGTCCACTTCTGTTTGAAAAGGTCTATCTGTCCAATGAACTTTGCCATAACTCTTGGAAACATCTTGTTGAAGTAATCTTTTCCTCTTGGACTGTATTGGTCAAT